GTCACGATGATAACGAAAATGATAAAATTATAAACAATAATAGACACTAACCTCTACTGAGTGTTTATTATAAGCCAAATACTTTTCAAATTTTTTTGACATTTATGAACCTACTTAATCTTTACAATAACCTTATTAAATGGGAAAGAGTATCACCATTCCCATTTTCTAGATGAGGAAACTGAGGCACAGAGAAGTCAAGTAACTTGCCTAACGGCACAATATTAATAAATGGTAGAACCCAGAGAGCCACTCCAGAGCCCATGATCCTAAGCCCTCCATAAGACATAAAGTTCAACAGATACTGGGTAGAGGGCATGAACAGACATGGTGAATATACTTTAAGTACTTGAAACCAGGACACACAGGGAAGAATACAATTGAGACTAATCTTAAATTCATGGGTATACGGGGAATTCAAAAATGTAAGTGGGCCAGAGATGGTGTAGAAGACCCTTTGTGGGAAAAATGAGGACCTTTGAAGCAGGGGGCCCAAAGAGACCCTGTATCAGACCCTGGGTGATCTTAAGTGTTTTAATCTTTCAGAATTTCAGTTCCCTAATGTGTAAAAATGGATTAACATGAGGATTAATTTGTCTAAATTCCTCACCAAGTACTACAGAAATGTCAGCTCTTATTGTTTTAAGACACATCAGCAATTCCTAGAGAGGGTGGCCTGGGGAAATCATGTGGGAGCAGAATCCTTCAGGACTCATGGCCCAGAGGGAGGACTAACAGAGGAGGGAGAACCCACCCCTAACACTGAAAGATGCTGCAGAGAACACTGACTTTCTCTCCCCACCAGAAGCATCTAATTATAATTCATTTTACTGTTTATACTCATGGTTATTTACAGCTTGACTGTGTATATAACTACATTATAATAATATAGGGCTTCAAAATAATGTGGAAATTAACTTCTTCCCCCATACATGCCTTAAGGCCCATTCTGGAAGAATTTCCTATAAGCCAAGTGTGTTTAGCCACTCTGTTAGGAACACTGAGGATGCATCCACATCTCAACATTTTCCAAAACTGGTCTGATAGAGGCATCAATCCAACCATCCATCCATCCCAGACCCATCCAACGTTTATTAAGCACCTACAATGTTGCAGTAACTGCATTAAGATGCTGGAGATACAGGACAATCTCTTTTGACTAAGATCTTCATCCCACTCTAGGCTCTACCACTACAGAATGGGACACACAGAGCATTTGAAGAATACAGGATGATAACCAACCCTTATTCTCAATCCAGAGCAAATCCCCAGGATTCCCCCCCAACACACCCTTTTATGGTCTCCAAAATTAACTTCTCTTTAAATATTGATATTTGATGACTACACTGTATTTGAAGATTAATTTAAATTAATAACCTCTTGACCTCTTGATAATATTAGGTCTTCCTATTAAGAATAAGGGATGGCTTTCCATTAATTCAGTGCTTCTTTAAGATACACTGATTTTTAATAAGTTAGACCTAGATTACTAGGTTGCTGTCTCATGGGGCCTTTTAAAACAAAGCATCTAGGAATCAAACAATCAATAATAATGAAATAAGAAAAGAAACAAAATCAAATCCTGAAAAGCAGAAATTTTCTCTATACCCTATCTCTTCCTCCAGCAGTCTCCATTCCACATCCTATTCAACTGATCAATCAAAATGTGAAGAACACTTACTCAGGGCTGTTTGGATATCCTTTTCTCCATTTTTCACTTCTGTCAAAAATCCCTTCAAAAATTTGAGACCTCTAAAACCAAAAAAGAGGAAGAAACATTATTTTCAAAGTTCACATGTTGAACAGGTATAAAGAAATGGCAGACCAGCTTGTTTCAGTAATATCCTGGGCACAGCAATCAACAGGTTAAATCATATGGTGATTCTTTCTGAGTTTCTTCCCTGTCATTTCCCTGTAGCTTTCTCTTGATCATTCCCTCACCCCACATGATATACCTAAAGCAGTGGTTTTCAAAATGTGGTCACAGGACCTGTGTCTTCAGCATCTCCTGGGAATTAGACAGAAATGCAAATTCTGTAGCTTCATCCAGATTTTATGAATGAGAAACTGGTTCTGAGTCCAGTTTTTAATAAGTCCTCCAGGTGATTCTGATTCCACTGAAGTGGGAGAGCCAGAGACTTTAAGGGAAACCAGTTGACTTTACCGTCCTTTAAGATTCCTATCTCATGTGTACTATTACCAGTATTTATCACCATCAAGTGAGAGGGAAAAAAAAAAGTTGGTGTTCTATTCATCATGCAGAGAAAGCTACACAATTTGGTTAGATTCTTCACTCAGAATTAGTGCCCTTTGCATAACGAGTTTTTTTCTGGTAACATTTCAATTGAGCACGATTTTAACTGCTGTCCCACTCCAACTGCCTTACCTCTTTAGCCACAAGAGGGCTTCAGTGGCTGAGTTCCTAACCTGGGCTACGTCCGCCTCTACTTCATGCAGCACTATCTTCTGAAGGGTAGTAAACTCTTCCTTGTTGGTTATATACTTCTGATTTACTTTCTGAAGGAAAAGGATGGAAACAATCTAAGTTAAAAATACTAAAGTTAACAAGAAAATCAGTATATTAGTTTGACTTATAAGTTTGGCAAGCAGGCCTCCAAGAACTCAAAATAAATAATTAAGCCTCTATTACTTTCTTCCTTATGTTTTCAAGGTAATGGGTTTTTTCCTTGAGAATTCTACGATGCTTAAGCTGTAATTAAAGAGTTAATCTCAAATCCCCAAAACATGTATAATCAATTGTGATTCAATAAAAATAAATAAATAAATAAACCATTTATGTAGAAAGAAAGAAAAAGAAAGAAAGAGAAAAAAGAAAGAAAGAAAGAAAGAAAGAAAGAAAGAAAGGAAAGAAAGAAAGAAAGAAAGAAAGAAAGAAA